TGAAGTGAAATTTTACTTGTCTTTAAAAACGTGCGTCAAAGATCATGGGGATAGCCTTAGCCGAGCGATGTAGAAAGAAGGATTTGATAAGTATGTGCTGAGGTGCCCTGTTTAGCTGTTTGGTAAACATTTTGGTCTTCTTAAACAAATAAGCGAATAATTTTGAAACCGCTCGATGGATTTTTTTAAATTTCAGAGTCTCGAGATTAACTGTCGTTTTGTATTACCCTTAAGTTTTGAGATTATTGATGTCTTGTAAGGCAGTAAAATACGAAGGGCTGCGGCGACCTCAAAAGTTTGACGCGTCTAAGGCATAGCCTCCTCTTCTCCCCATCGATCAAGAAGACGAAAAGAGGCTTTGATCACCAGGTGGAGTCCTCATGATACCAGAAATGATTTTCTTGTTACCATATAAGCTCTATTCTACTTTTATGTGGCCTTTCTTCTGTCGCTGGTACAGTGTACTCGGTAAAACGGACATCTACAGTTGGTCCGTTCCTTTCTCTGATCCCTTTATTTGACTGTTAATAAGACGGACAGCAGCCTTAGACAAACAGTCAGTGCGCGTCCCAAAGGTTCCTCTTAGAAACAGTTTACTGGTGCCTGATGATTTTACTATTGTTAATCGGGTTTTGGTGTTCTTGTTTTTTGTACTGGTTAAGCAGTTCTGAACCTAGTTAGGGGAAGCTTCTATACTTAAATGATAATACGTTATTTAATTAGCAGGAGAATGTACATTTTGTATGCATTTTTAAATCTGACCAGTATTGTCTCGACTGGCAGCTTACACCTTACATTCGATAATTAACCTTAAAGGTCTGGATAGGTATAAAGCACTTAGCAAATAAGAAGGAAAAGCCTTTTGAGTGTCTCGGCGTATCGTCTTATAAGGAAGTAAATGTATTGAGATACTGGTCAACCACCCTTAGAAAAGTTGCCCGAACAGACGAATTCAGCTCACCAGACTAACGTAAGCCGGCCATCTCTTCACTCTCATTTTTCGCTCTAACAGGTTAACTTTATCGCGATGGGACTTCATACTTAGTTTCCATTAATGTTAGACACTCAGGAGACCTGAAAACAGCATAAGAGAGCTTTAGCAGTGTTAGTGTCATCAGTCAACTATTTTCTCTGGTCACGCAGAAAACTAGCATATAATATATGACCAAAAATAAAGAATCAAGAAGACCTTTTAAATGTGGAAAACAACTGTTTGAGTTAGTTTTCTAATTTTTAGGTCTCCTCTGCTAATTCTTGGGAGCGTGATTCCTTCTGTATAAAGACTGCTTAATTGTCGATTAAGCGGTATTAAGATGTACCTGGGTCAAAAAATTAAAGCTGTAGGTAAGTCTTAGTGGAAAAAGGAGACTCATTACCGGGAATAATAAAAAAATATTTACTGTTTGATAGGTAACTTTTCTTTGGATACCGGGCGCCGTAAAATAATTAATTTTATCGTTTTTAGTGAAGAAATCTCACGCTTTTAGAAGGCAACCGGCAGTAATGAAAGCCATAATTTACTATTTATTCAAAAACTGGTATAAGATGTCAACAAGCGAAAATAAAAACTGTCTGACAAGTGGTTAATAAAATGATTTACTTCTGAGTTTTTACTTTTTCACTACATGTGCGGCTAGATTCCTCGAATTTCGTGTACATGTTGGATTGAAAAGATTGAAACTGGATTTCCAATGTATGCAAGGTCTTCAGTAGCAGTAAGAAGACGTTAACGCATACATATGTTAATTTAAAGCTTCACAGCGTGCAGTTTATTCACTGACTTGCGGAAGTTGGAATGCAGGGTCTCACTAAGGGGCGTAGCCTGCGTAGCAGGCGTCAAAAGGGGAAGGGAAAGCAAAAATTCTGGGGCGCGAGGATGTTGAAAACGGAAACCTTTTCCCCTCTTTTCCCTTTTCCCCCCTCCTCGTGCTCCCCTCGCGCTGTCACGCCCCCAATTCCCGCGTCCTCTTCCGGTTTTAAAGCTGCCACACAAGCTACTTTTAGGGGATTAATACTAATTAAGCCCTTCTACTGTTAAGTGGTTTCTAACAGGTTGCAGTTGTGTACATTGGCTTGCACCTCACATAGAGTGCAAGCAAATGTTACGACATATCCCTTTAAGAACAACAAAAAATCGGAAGATTTGAAAGGGAGTTAAATGCTCATTTAAGGTACTGAAAATTTGATGCGCTTTACCTCAAGTCCACTAACAGCCTTTACTGACTGTTGAAAAATGGCGCAGAAAGAAAATTTTCCTTAATGTTCCGTTAAAGGTATTGCATGAGACGAGCGGACGCTTTCTGAACATAATCCATACTTGACGCGCCAAGATGGTACGTGTCATTACAAAAAACCCTTAACATTTACTTGGCTTTTTGAAAGACGGTGCAGTTTGCCCAGTAAAAGAAGCATCATCAACTATTTAATAAGTTAAATCACGAACAAAGTGCAATAATATCTTTAAATGATCAAGAAAACAGCAGATGATTGATTGTAAGTGACAGTTTGCAACGTCTCTCTTTTTTTTAGAAAACGTAATGTGTTCTAAAACGCTCGACGTGGCATACCGCACGTATTAAAACCTCAAGAAAACTCACCTCTTAGTTACATCCCAGGTTTGACCAGCATGGCTGCCCTTATACAGGGAATACAAAGTTTAGGAAACAGACTGTAAACTATCGTTGCCATTGCAATCAGTAATTACATTAAATCTGGCGGAGTATGCATGAAACTGCTTTTGCGGAAAGAATTGCGTTCAAAAGACATTTGATAATCTGAACTATTGTTGCAGACAGGGCAGTTTCGCACTGCACATTGGGACAAAGCGAAACTCCATTTCTATTAAATTTACATTGTATATGAAATCAGTCAAAATAAAGGCAAAAAGTATCATTTTTAGTTCTCTTTAGTTTGCACGTAGTGATGAAATACTTTTGGTAAATTAAAAGTCACTGGTCATGCTTTTGTTGTTCTTATTGTTTATTTATGCTTTAAGTTAGCTATAAGCTAACAATATAATAAAGTACACGCCCGTACCTGTTGTAATACCGTACGGCGTTAAAAGCCAAAGAAAATGTTGTTTTTGTAATATGCAGCATGTAGCGCCTTTATTACCCAATCAGCTTGTTTTTACTTGGTAAGAAGATTTAGGATATTTGGATCCTTGATTTGTTAAACGCGAGCGCATAAAACAAAACCCCCACCTGTCGACAGGCCATTACCTCTAGATTAAGCAGCAGGATGGACCTTAGGAAAGTTACCGTTTTTGCCTTTCTCCTGAACCTGGGGATTCTCGCTACAACTGTAGAAGGTACACAGCTCTTCTTTTTATCCTAGGCCATTGCAATCTACATGTGTAGGTTATTATACCTGACAAAAATGTTACTTTTTTCTAGTAGCAATTGTTTTAACATTCTTAAACTTCAATCTTTTGAAACCCAATTCAACTCGGTCGAAGACTTTTTCTTTCATTTACATTTTTTTAGAGAATATACTTGTTCTAGATCTCAACTAAAGCAAGAATGTCTGGAGGTTAGATCATTTCAATTCATCATAGTGATTTGTTTACAAATGTGGGGGACACAACCGCCACTCCATCTCACTTTTAAGTAACTAAATCAGTGCTCGCGGAGCTGACGAACTGTGAAGTCGATTCGATGTATTTATCATCTCGTTATTTGCGAATCCTCTACACGCAATGTTCTCAAGAAAATGACTATATTTTAAAGCTCTCGGTCCATTTATTTGTTTGCCGCAACTCTATCATAATATCTACAAATAGAACAGTCAGCTCTGTAGTCTGGTTACCACTTGGATCGAAGAAACACGAAAAAAAGGGATAAACATTTATCCCACGTTTCATATCCTCAGATGACTTGGCAGTTTTAAGATTTCAAAATATAAGATTTTGCCAGTGGGGTGAGGTCTTTGAAAAACCTGCCCTTAAGACTCCACACCCACATTCTGACGCAATGCGGAAGTTTTAATATATTTCAAATTTTTGAAGGAATAGTAATGATTTCTGTCAGTTCAGCGACCCGCATTTAACAGAAAACCTTAAAAAAGTTTTATATTTTTGATTTTTATTTTTCCCAGTCAGTCATTCCAATGATTCCCGTACTTCTCGGTACCGATCTACAGATTTGCGACTTCGTAGAGTTCTGTTTTAATCCAATCAACGATAACTGTCATTGCCACTTACCCTTTTGGTGCAAGGAACCGAGATCACATGATAATGTTTGTGCACGTGTAACGTGACCAGAATCAAGACATTTAGATTTGCTTTCAAGTGGAATAACTGAAAATAAACAAAAAAGTAGCTAGAGGAGTCGACTGAAATGAGACTTGAAGCAATTCTAAAGAGAATTGCCAAGCAATTTGAGTTTGCCAGTAAGATGGACTTCGGAATAAAGTGAAACATTGAAGTTTGATGACAACAACAAACCAAAACAAAGAAAACCTCAATAGGATGGTATCTAAGTGTGCATTTTTTTTTCTTTAATTTGATATTACTTTCCTAAAATAATTTGTCGCCAAATGTCTCAGCGTGCGTCTATATCGAGCTGGCCAGATATCTGGCCAGTTATGCAATTCGCCAACTTATTCATTACCATTTTATGATTAAGAGCATTTTGGGTATTTTAAATGTAAACTATCTGAAGTATATATCGTAAAATTCGTCTTCCTGAATTTTCTTCACATAACGACAATCAAACATTTTATGATACAAATGAAAAGCGTTCTTTTAGCGCATTAATCGGTCCTGTGCAACTCGAGCGTAGACTGAGTCGTTTATTGTTTTTTTTTTTTTGTATTTAAATAGAACTAGGCCAAGTTACGTTTTTACCGCGGGCCAAGTTACGTTTTTACCGCGCTATTTATATGAAAAATGAAATTCACAAAATAAAGAGGAACCGATCAGTTCCATCATTTCCACATCTAAAACACAGCCGCTCTGAGACACGCCACTCGCCTCTCTTTAATTTCAAGCCACCCTCTGCTCTTTTTCAGGTATTTCCTATCAAGTTGGAAAACTAAACGCATCAGAGACACGTCAAGGATGGAATTGCAATAGCGGATGTGAGGCGCCACAACATTGTACACTGCCCCGTTGCACCAATGTGGTATTTCCGCAAACGTTTAGTGGATCTGGAACCGTAAGTAAACCCTAAGCAATTAAAACTTATAGTCTAATCTGCAGGGTTCGGGGTAACTTTCTTTTGTAAGTGAACCACATTAAGCTTCTTTACAAAATCTAATGTTCTTGAAAAATTTTGATTTGCCAAAGTACTTGTGGTTTTCTGATGCTTTGGTGCACATAGGTATGCTTAAGTGCTTCTAATCCCTAAGATGCGTGTGTTTTTGAACAAAACAAAACAGAACAAAACAAATACAAAAAGCCGGAAGATTCTGACGATAAATATAGAAGGTCTCTGTTCCATGAAATGGGAATTGGGGGGTAAAATGTGAGAGTGTGTGGAGGAGGGGTGGGCGATTGGGGTCGATTAGCTAGACTCTCTTTTTCTTCAGATTTAGTGTGTGGAGTGAACGCGTGCGCGAGCGTCGAGCAGACGCGAGAAACAAGGGAGGCATTCTCGCGCCTCCAGTCACGCGCAAGGCCACGCCTCTCTTGCGTGTCTCGCGTATCTCGCGCGTTTCGCTCGACGGATTAGGAAAAAAAGAGAGACTGCTCTTAGTCTAGGGTGGACTTGTCACCTGATAAATTTTCATTGATGGCTGTCTTTACCTAACGCATTTCAGGTTCGAGTTTTTGTGTCATTAAGCCATGAAGATCAGTCTTCAGTTGTTCATTCGCCTTCCGCCGTGTGGGCAGAGTCCATTAGTACAGCTGGATTTCAGTTATGCTCGCGTGCAACAGGTTCTACAAATGACACTGGAATTATCAACTGGGTAGCGTTTCAGGACAAACCTATGTTAACGCATGGAAGCGTTACTTTTAGCGGAATATGGACAACAGAAACTAAGTGTGAGAAGGTGGCCTTTTCTCAGGTTAGATAACAATAATTGACAACAAGTATATAATTTTGTTACAAAGGTGTAAAACGTAATTAAATAGTAGAAACAAATGAAATAGTATCAGAAGGTAGTTCTAAAACAAATGATCACTAATTAATATCCGGAATTTGCTCTTCACAGCAGAGTTCACTGCTAAAAGTCTTTTTAAGTTTTCACTTGGGCTTATTTTCAAACTTTTCCTTCCATCACCTTTAGATATGCCATTTTCACGTTTTACTTTGGAGGTAGTGATTGAATAATGCTTGACCGTTTTGAATGTATTGATGTGTTTAAGGTAATTTGGAAAATAGAAGTCTATTTTTTAATGATATTAAATTTGTAGCATTAAAATTAACAAAGTTAGCCGAAAAGGAACATTGTTGTTTGTAACTTTATTTAAGTAATGGGCCAAATAAGATGCATTCACCAACCTTTTCAACACTTCGTAGAAAGAGGTGAAAAAGGGGTAGAATATTGAGTTAATGGGAATAGACAAGTAGATTTAATTAATCTGCTCCCCTTAAATCCTTAATTTCATTTAAGTGCCGCTGAGTACTTCATCGATACGTTCATGCTGACTTATCTTTCGAGAAGTTTGTTTATTTTTCGATCGATAGTTTTTGATATATGTAACAATTTTTTTGCAGAGCTTTGCTTCCAAGCCTCGTGTATTTGTCTCAGTTAAGTACACTCGCAGTACAAAGCCAAATGACGCTATGTACTTATGGTTAGAAAACGTCAATTCTGGAGGATTTGAAGTGTGCTTGAGGGAATTCTTGCCCTTTGATGGAAAACACCAAGATGCAGTTGTGGTAGGTGGAGAAAAATGTCCGAGTAAACTATAGTATTGATGAAAGCAAACAAACAAACAAACAAACAAACTTGACTTTGCCACACCTCGGCAGCCCGCAAAACCAATTGCCCAGAACGTTTTTGACGCAATTAAGGTCAGTATCATGTCTCACGCAGTCATTTCGTGTTAAAGGAAACGTTGCTCGAAACCTGACGTAAATCGTCTTGTAAAAAAAGGGGTAGCAAATTAAACATTATTTTCTTGTCGGCAGGACTGGTTTGCATTTACTGGAAATGGGAGTCAACTTAATTTCACATTAACTGGAGAAGAAATCTTTCTAAACAGTGGAAATCCATCGGCCAAAAACAACTACGGCTTCTGTCAGGTGAAAACTTTAGTTCTAACAAGAACATTTAGCAAGCCAAAGAATACTGATTTTTTAGTGGTTAAGTTCAAACTAAAGAAAACTTAAAATACAGTAAACCCAAGCTTACCAGGCCATGGTAATCAACATTGTATCCAAAATGGCAATTCCAAGATGAGCGCGACATGTTTATCTCGCGATTTTGACGTGCGCATATTTCGCGATTCTTAAATTTCGTGACTTTGCGAGAATTTTATATTTCGAATCTCTTCAATTTCGCGTTGTAGACAGTGGGCGAATATTAGAAGTGGGTAATTTACGGAAGATGGGCAAAAATAGAGGGAGAAGTGAGCACGTTCAGATCCATTTACTAACTTACATGACTTTTTTACCTATTTACAGGAAGTGCCTTTCAATACGACCTTTTACAAATCGCCAGTTGTGATTCTTTCCGTGAATCATGAGTATAATCTGAAGGTCAAGGGAAGTCGTCTTCCTGAAAATAATATAATATCAGCCTGGCTAGAGGTAGGTTTGGTTTTTTATTCTAACCTGAGAAAACAGCCCGCCCGACATTTCGCGCGACGCCACCACTAGTTTTCCCAGAAAATGAGGAAAACCCCGTTTCACGACGCAATTACCGGCTTTCCCGTGAATAGACGTCTGTGGAAGAGTGCAGAAATTCCATACTGAAGACGTGTACTTCTCAGATCAAGATAGTGCTTGTGATTGGTCATGCTGCAAAATAAACTTTCTTTAACCAATCAAAAGCACTGCCTGCCCAGATCTGCGTAGTGACATGATCATCAGTACGCAATTTCTGCGCTCGTTCCTCAGACATCTTTTCACGGAAGAGCCTTTAATTGCGTCATGAAACGGGGTTTTCCTCACTGGGTTATATTCTTGATCGATTTGAGGTTAATGATAATGAACAGGGATTTTTTCAGTGCTTTACTACATTATTCTATTCAATTATTTGCTTGAACTCTCACGACACCTTTGAGATCCAAAAGCCCATATCACTTGTTCAATCAGGGGAGAGAAGAAATCCGTTTAGTATAGGTAATCACATGATTTCGAGTGCAATTTGGAATAAATAAGCACGAGTAAATTTTTCAAAGACTAACAAAAGTGCACGAGCCCGTAGGGCGAGTGCACTTTGTGGTCTTTGAAAAATTTACAAGTGCTTATTTAATCCAAATTGCACGAGAAAAATCATGTGATTACTTATTAATAATATACACGAAAAACATAACTACGACAACAAATTTTGACAGCGCGCGCGTTTTTAGTTCATTCAACTGATTGGCTGAAACAGACTACTACCTTTGTCAAATTCAAACTTTTTCAAGACCAACGCTTTCAAAATCATTCAGCTAAGAACTTGGAAATGTGCAAGGATTTTTTTATATGATCACCAGCCTGTTAAAGATAACTTGGTTTACAACAATCAGCAAAAGTAAGTGTTTTTAAATTCATCCTCGATTATGAGAGCTCGGCGTTTACAAGAAGCGTTTTCAAAAAGTATACTGCCGTTTTTAAATCAGGAGAACGCTTCGAGCAGCCAAAGATGAAAGACACTTGCTAAGGATTTTTAACGACTGTTTATCATTGTCTGTTCCTGAGACCCATCATAGCTGGATTCATGGACAAACTTTTGAGATTTAAAACCCGAAAATGAAGGAGGCAATTTGTTTTCTTTCGACGCTATCATCGATGGGTGAGTGGAGCCACAGTTGTTGTGATGTCGGAAACTGTCAGTATTAATATAATATTTGCTTTTTCTCAGCGCTGGAGTTTTCATTATTTTATTTGGGCTAATGCAAGATTCATCGTAGCTCTTCTTCGTCGGCTTCATCGTAGTCGTTAAGGAAATTTATACTTCTGTGGCCTATGACACTGAGGATATGTTCTGAACTTACAATCTTTGCTTTCTTCACCTTACTGCATGTTGTTTTTCTTGCACAATGATTCGTAAACTTTTTTCTCACTTTCTTTAAGGCTACTACCAGCTACGGATACTTTTCATTGTGTGAGTTGTGGTATTTTCACCCATTGGTTTAGTTTGGACCAGAAGTCTAAATTTTCAGTTTCGTTTGCTACTGAGGTAGAAAAAAAACAGACCATCACATGGATGTTTTAATAGAGTTCTTCGCTTCACAAAAGACTTGTTCATTTAAATGCCTGAAGAGTGTAGCTGTCATGGTTTGCGTGTGGTTGCAACCGTTTTTGTTCTTTATTTTTTTTACTTTAGCGTAGTCTGTTATGAGTAGCTTTTTTTTTTAGTTTCTCTGGCTCATTTTCCTCGATTTTGTCGACAGTATTTTTCTCTTAGCAACGCATTTTCAATACATTTAGCGAGAAAGACGTGCTTTTTACCGTGTTCGGGTTTTTTTGGAATATTTTTTTTAATTTTTCTATAGTTGTTTTGCTTACAAAATTTAATCCCGTCGTCGTCTGCTGAAAACCATGGCCATTTTCTTGAATTTGTGTTGTTAAAACAGCTCTAATCTGATTGGTTCTTGTTGGTTTCTTTTGTGTTTTCGGCCAATCAGAAAGCATTTGTAATCTGCACTCGTGTTACAAGTTTGCACTCGTGTTACACATTTTGCACTCGTGTTACAGAAGAGCTGCACTCCTTTCTCAGCCAATCAGAATTGAGTAATTTTTTCGTGTATATTATTATTCTAATAAATTTGTAAAAGGACTGTGAAAACTGTGAAAAAGCCATAAGAAAACAATAATTTGGATCTGATCCATGAATTTCATGACTTAAAGGTATCGACATAGAAATCAAGAAGAAACTATGGAATTTCTAGTAACTGATGAGTGCTATCACATTTTGCTGTAGGAAGTTGGATTACAATCTATGAAGGTCTGCGTTAAAGACCTCAGTGGATTAGGATCGAGTCATGGTCCCTTGATTGTCAGCTACGCTGTTACTGGAGGTTGTTTATAATTTTCCTATTGTAATGATCACTATTTCTAGTAAGAACTATTGTTATTTTTATTATCATTTTTTTTTTTTGATATCTTTTAGAAGTTGTTATATGTAGGAATACATTTCATGATATAATTAAAGAAACACTGGAGTACAAACACTGACATACCTTATTCATGTTACACTCTATCTTTGCACGAACTTTAAGACTGATCATTGATGGGATAAGAGCAATTAGAGGGCACACAAGTAATAAAATTGCCAATACTAGTAATCGAGTAATCGACTGCATTCTTGTATTTACTGATTTTATCCCTTGCTTGCCCCCTGAGACACCACGTAACATTGCTTTAATTTATTCCATCAGTCCTTAAGCGCGTGCAGAGATGGCGGGTATCGTTAATCAGGTCTACTAAGGATTAAAAAAAAAAACATTTGTTGAGGTACCTACAAGCAAACATGTTACTACTACTGAACAGTAACTTAGTTTTAATTGAAATATGAAAAATATATTAGACATTTATGTTTTTTTCCAAATGGATAACTACTCAATATTATGTCTCTTTTTTCTTGGTACAGACCTTAATCCTTGCCTTAATGTGCATTGCCCACGGTTTGGAGTCTGCAGGACCTACAGTGCGCATGACGCTCGGTGTGAGTGCGATGACCAATGCCCTTCATATAAAGACCCAGTGTGCACTGCAAACGGAACAACTTACGACAACCGATGCTGGCATAAGTTAAGCTATTGCAGAGGACTTGAAAATAATCTGGTTTATCACCCTGGAAGCTGTGAAGGTATAACGAAAAATAATGTCAGCGATTTTTTTTGGCTGTATATGCCACATAAAATAGTCTGGGAGTTAAGCTCTCGATTGCTTAGAATTATTGGTGTTGGCTCAAAATTGAATTGACTTCAAGCTATGATGTTTATAACTTTTCGTTACTTTTAAGCTCGCTTTTAGCTCCTCACGCAGGTTAAACAACGATAGACAGCTGTAACAAGCTACTTCGTCTCTCTGCTTTGGCAAACAAACATATAGCAGCCCAGACTATAGCCAATGTTTGGTCTGTGTAAGATCTTTTATCCTCATTTGTCTTGCAATTTAGTTTTTATCGCGTAAAATTAGATTACTTAAATCTGCTCGGGGCAAATATGGTGCAAAAAAGTGCAAAAGAGGAGGAAATCAAAGACAAATGGAGTTGCATAATTGAGGGCAAATGAAGTATTTACTATCTTTGCCCTTGATTTCATCCTCTTTTGCAACTTTTTTGCATCTTATTGGCACTGAGTGAATTTGCTGAAAATCAAATATTTCCCGCAGTGGCGCGCGCTCCCAATATACTGGCATATGTTTATCTTTGAACTGGCACATGTTTATCTTGGGCACTGAAACCAGCATGCAATAATAAGCAGCCACTATACATTTCGTTGTAGAAAGGTAGCCGACATTGCAAGTTACAGCCTAGTTTTAGTTCCATTTCCACGCTTTTTTTATCACCATCCTTCACCACTTAGAGTTGCACTACAACGCAAGCTAGGGAAGCTACGTAAGCGATAATGCTTAAAGAGCACAGTGATGCTTCCTTATAAAGTACTTAATTTATTACAAAACAGGCTTTCCAATTGTTCGGGGCCGTGTAGATCTGCTACAGGTTCCAAAATGGTCAGATTCAAACTGTCAGACAGTCACATTTCCTCCATACCGGTTTTATCCGGATAAACAAGTTCATGTTCAAATAACCGTCAATCACATGAAGCTGAATGACTCTGTGACAGTCCACGACGCTGTTACTTCATGGACAGAAAGTATCAACACAAAAAACTTCACCGTCTGTGTCATGCAAACCGGGAGGAAAGAAGAAGGCGCGAATCCATTTGCCACCATTGATTGGGTGGCTTATCAAGGAGCACCGCCCGAAGGATTGACGGGAACGGTTGAGTTGCAGAAATGGTGGTCTGGTACCAACTGCGCAGATGTAACCTTTCCTACGGTGAGATGGGAATGTACATATTAAATTAAATAATTGTTGCAAATTCAGTTAAAGTCTGCATGACGAATGTTAGACTTTCATTCATGTGACACCTTTAATCCGTGTCTTGAAAAAAAAATACAAAAAAAAAAAAAAAACAAAACAACACCAAAAACAGCAAAAAAAACAAAACAAAATAAAACAAAACAAATAAATACTAAATAATTGGAAAATTGAGTCTTGTGACCCCTTAGCCAAAACATGACAGATTTATACACGACTTGTATGCGTAACAAAAGAAGAAAAACATCAAGAGCGAAACTGTGAAGGAGAGACCTCCTTAACATCCATTTCAACAAAATGAAGCGCTAATCTGATACAAGGAAGCAGCTTATAACAACAACAACAACAACAACAAAACAAACAAATAAAAAAAAACACAAAATATTTGTTTACCTATTTGAATTAACTGAATATGGAAAGACGAGAATTCACATCTTAAGTTAAAGAACATATTAAAACTTTCCTTGAACTAGAAAAATGAGACACAAAGTTAACAAAATATAATCGATCATTACGAGGTAACTGGGGAGATGATTGCTAGATCTTCTAAAAAGTTGTGACCGACTTAGCGACTTAGTTACCAAGACAACATTAGATAACAAGTAAGAATGGGAACTTACTTAGTGGTTAGTGTCAAGTAATTTTGTAGCAATATTCAAAAAAAGCTGTTTCGATTGTTGTTATTGCTTTTTCTTCAGGGCAAGTTCGCCGAGGCGCCTATAGTCCTTATGACGTCAGAGCACCTGAGGACTGGTAAAGAGTATGATGCTGCTCTCATTTGGATTGAAGACGTAACAAAGGACTCAGTTAAAGTCTGTCTTCGTGAAATGCAAAACTTTGACGGTAGACACCAAGATATCACTGTGGTACGTTCTTAGTCAGATTTTAAAAAAACTGGAACGCGACTGTCCACAAAATTTGTGAGCAATGCTGGTCTTGTTAAAAATAAAAGCGTTAAGAGAAAAAAAGCATTGCTAAGTAAAGATTGTCCGGCAGATCGGGAGTGATGATCAGTCAAATGAAAGGAAATGCAGAAAGAAAAACATAAAAAGAAACGGAAATAATAATAATAATAATAACAACAATAATACTAATGAATAATAATAATAATAATAATAATAATAATATAATAATGAATAATAATAATAATAATAATAATAATAATAATAATAATAAGAAGAAGAAATGAATTGAATAGCATTACGGGCGGTGAATTTTAAATAGCACACAAATTGGTCTTCCTTGTCCCCATGCCTCCCTTCACGCCTGATGTCTCAAAAAAATGTGGATTTGCATCCTTTTCTTGACTCTTTGCGCTCTTTGTTATGTCACAACTTCATAGAGTTCAAAATACTTAGATTCAAAGGGGCCTAAAAATGATGAGTTTATTTGAATTTTTTGTTGGTGTAATACGATTCTGTCACAAGACTATGGGTGGCATCAGTTTTGTTTTTACCTCTTTTCACAGAACTGGTTTGCCTTCTCTAAACTGCACAAGCCTCTTTTCACTGAACATGGTGTCATAAGTTTTCCAAATACGAAGCCACCTTTGGATAAAATGAACAATGCTTATTGCCAGGTGAGAAAAGAATTCTTTGCAAAAGCAGTGAGTAGCATGCTGTTCACAGCATTGTCCCTCACAGATATATCGCTTACTTACATCACTGTTTATATTTTCAAAACACTTTTAGTCATATACACTTTACGCAATAGAGATCAAAGTGACTAGAAAAGTAAAGAAGCTGGTCCACTAAACAATACTTTAAGACAAGAGGTCAAAAACTACAGACTGATAACGTCCCTCTTAACCATCGACAAAGTGTTTGAGCAACTGCACTGTAAACAGGTGACTGTGAAACTCGACCACATCTTTTTAGCCTAAGCACTGCTTACAGAAAGGGACACAGCTGTGAGACCACTCTACTACGTCTGAATGAGGTCTGGAAGCTAGTAATAGACAGAAAAGAGCTAGTATGTATTCTATCGACTGATATGAGTAAAGCGTTTGACTCTCTCAGCCACTCGCCGACACTAACAAAGCTTGAGACATACGGTTTTGAGTCCTCAGCTTTGGACCTCACGCGATCATTCTTTAACAACCGCCAAAATGTTCAACCCCCTGCTCTGGAACGTATTTCAGAATGACCTGCCCTGCTCCATAACTACTGCTAAACTTTCGATCTATGTGGACGACCACCAGTTGTACACCTCAGGAACTAATTTTACAGCTGAAAGGGAAGCCTTTAAGCAGGAAGATCAACTTGCCGCGTCTTGGTATCGTGATAACTTTCTACTCGCAAATCCTGACAAATTCCAGGCGATGATCCTTTATGATTGGCTTTGAAGGCTAATACACTGACATAAGCATAGATGGTAGGGTCATTACAAACACAGATTACATCAAACTACTTGGCCTCCACATTGATTGCAATACGAACTTCAGTGGTCATATTAGCGAACTGTGTAAGAAAGTCAGTAAGAAAGTAGGGATCCTAATGCGCCTGCGCAATCTTGTTCCCTGCTCAGCTGTAAGTCTTCTATAAGTCTTCCATCCTACCTTACCTTACATACTGCCAGCTTGTATGGCACTTCTGTAAGGCCTCCAACAGCAGGAAAATGGAGCGCCTTCAAGAACGTGCCTTAAGAGCGATATACAGAACTAAGTCTGCCTCTTACCAGACACTACTAAAATATCAGGACTACCCACGTTGCAAAATCGTAGGGCACGCGGCAGGACATAGCAATACTTATGTACAAAGTCAAGAACAACCTCGCCCTTACCGACGTAGCAGAACTTTTTAATTTAAATAATTCGAGCTATTCTCTGCGAAACAAATACTTTCATTTATCTACTAGATTCAATACTGTAACCTACGGCAAACATTGATTTCGTTATTTTGGACCTTTACTATGGAAGAGACTAAACAACAAGGTCGAGCAATCACCTAGTCTTCAATCTTTCAAGAACGCTATCGGAAATTTAGATATTTCTGGTGTTTTATTATTTTATTTTATTAACTTCGCCCCCGCCAAAAAAGAAAACAACAAACAAACAAAAAAACAGAAAGAACGTTTTCAGGGACACCGCAACAGCTGTGGCCAATTACAGTGGGCCCGGATACTAATGAAAAAATAAAAACAAGAAATAATAAAAAATACAGCGATTCAAGAAAAACTACAGCTACATACAACAAGTTATTGGACGAGACAAGGGACGAGCACTGTTACATTTTAAACAGATAGAATCGAACGAACGTGGGTCTTCGCAGTCATAGGAAACAGCTAACGCGGACTTATAATAATTAAAAATAACCGATTTAGAGGAAGCTAAGGTCGATGAGCTCAAATCTAGTTCATCCACTAAACAATTCCAAATTCCACTAGCTCTAATGAGAAAGGATTTCTGGTACGTAGTAGTTTTACATTTCTTAATTATGTATTTATTAACATTGCTGGTTGAGGATCTAGTGCGTCTACCGTATTTGCGAACTTCAGGTAGGACAGAGGAGTTCACGTTAACAAGACCATGTGTCAATTTGAAAAAAAAAAGGTTAGATCTAAACATTCATGCCAGTAACAAATAGGTATTAGGTTTAGAGTTTATAATTATATTAGAAGAATAAGGCAGTTTTAACATAAACTTAGTCGCCCGTGTTTGGATACGCTCAAGCTTGACAATGAGCTCGATGTACTGCGGGGCCAAAATTTGGGTGGCGTCTCCCAAATGTGGCCTAACTAGGGCTAGGTATAGCGTTCGTCTTAAGGCGGTTCTAAGTATGAACCTCGTGTTCCTCTTTAAGTAACCAAGTAGTTTATGAGCACTCGAACATTGTTCGTTTACTTGTTTGTACCATGTCAGATCCTTACTAATCCATACGCCCAGTTCTTTTTCTGCAGAATATAATTCAAGTGCGGTGTTGTTGAGTTTGTAAGAGGATAAGATCGGCTTTGTTTTCCTTGTAATGTGCTGCGCCTTATACTTAGCTTCATTAAAAAGGAGACCGGATGATTGCGGCCAAGTTGCAAGCTTACCAAAGTCTTTCTGGAGAGAAGAGGCATCCCTGAAAGTCTTTATCTCTCTGAATATTTTTGTGTCGTCAGCGAACATCAATACTCGACTGCTAGAACTGATGACTTTGGGAAGGTCGTTGGCGTATAAGAGGAAGAGGGCTGGTCCAGGGGTAACAGGAAGATCCTCTGAAGCGGTGCCGAGTACCGTAACGCGTTGGCGTCGACCTGACAGTTAAGAGCAGAACCAGTTAGGCAGGTGCCACCGAAACCGACCTGGATTAGCTTATGAACGAAGCGCCTGTGACTGACTTTGTCGAAAGCTTTTGACATATCAAGGTAGATGGTGTCAACCTGGCTGCCACTATCTAAATTAGTGAACCAATGTGGTCAAAAGCCTCAAGCAGGTTGGTGACGCACGATCTTCCAGTACAAAAACCATGTCGTTTAGGTGAAATTACATGGTACAGGGTCCTTGATGCTATTCAACACACAGCGCTCAAAGACCTTGGACACTATTGGGAGTAGAGAGATGGGGCGGTAATTTTCCTCGTGGTCTTTTGCACCCTTTTTGTGGACATGCACGACGTTAGCTAGTTTCCAGTCACTCGGGAGAGACCCTAGTTGCAGTGATTTGTTGAAGATCTTACATAAGGAAGGAGCAATCACTGAGGCAGTCTGTTTGAGCAATTTAGCAGGGATTTCGTCCGGCCCTGTGGCTTTACCGACTTCTAGTGCTTTGAGTGCAGCTAGAAACTTGGACTCATTGAGAGTTAGATCGGATATAACATTGTCCGAACGTATGCACGCTGTCTTTTCCACTGCGCTGTCGATAGTAAATACAGAGGCAAAAAACCTGTTAAACAGTCAGCTATTCCCGCAGGTGTATCAGCACTTAATCTTGAAGGGTTTTGTGACTGGTCAGCGGAAGAGTCTGGGATGGTTACCATGGAGACATGGTCTGGGATGGGATGAGATTTAGAGTTAAGCTTCAAATTGACCTTAAGTGCTTGGGATTGAATCTAAAGCCAGTGTCAATGAAGTCGTAAAAGTGATCAAGGCTTTCGCGAAGCAGTTTCTTGACTTGCGCCCGGAGAGACTTAAACTTATCCCTCAGGCCGGCGTTGTGATTAGTTTTAAAATGTTACTATCTATCCAAGGAACCGGGTTATATTCAGTCTCTTCGATGCCACGAAGTCCTTGACAGCAGCTAGTAATAAGTCCTTCCGGCACCGCCCGTCATCATCTATATTGTTATGGCCCACAATAGAAGAAAGATTGATTGCCGAGAGAGCTTCACGCAAACCTTCAAAATCGCCAATTGCGTAGTCGTAGACAAATTTGCGCGGGTGTGAGGACGCATTAACAAAAGAATTGTACTCAAACAGGACTACACAATGATCCGTAAAAACACCGGCTTTATCAGGTGACAACGCCTCGGTCACTTTGGTGTGATCTGGGGCACTTCTTATCACTAGATCAAGAATGTTACTACCGCGAGTCGGTGTGTGGTTAGTTTGCGTCAAGAAGTGGTCATGTAACGCCTCGATAAATGGAAGTTCGTTAGCACCTGAAGCGCTATCCACGGAGCCCCAGAATAATAATGTAATCTTCTGATCTAATTGAGGAGAAAATAACTGTGACTGTTATGACCTTTACAGATCCTAATTTTATGATTTTAAGATTTTTAAGATTTTAATATGTATTATTATGAATTACTATGTATTTTATATTAGTGTGCCCATTAAGCAATAGACCACACTTTCTATGGGTTTACCGGCGTGATAACCCACTTGGGATGTTGGGAGAACACGAGAAAAGCTTGTAAATCACTCGCCTTCGGCTCGTGATTTACAAGCTTTTCTCGTGTTCTCCCAACATCCCAAGTGGGTTATCACGCCGGTAAACCCATAGAAAGTGTGGTCTATTGCTTTTATAAAATAACTTTTAGTAGAATGGAGTCTTTTACGAAAAAAATATGGTTTTAGTACGTTGATCAAGTCATGTCTTCTCTCTAAAGTCATCATGGGCCAATCATGACTCACGATTTAATAGCGCCGAACTTTCTCAAAACTCAGTTCAGTCAAACAACAAACAGCAGCACTTCAAATCACGAGTTTTTGCACTCATTACATGTTAACTTATGAAAGCTGTTTTACAGGAAAAGTCAACATTTATTCAACCGAACGTACAATGAAAGAATACGCTCATGGTTTGTTTACTACAGAAGAAGAAACTAATTGAACATCAGACTGTACGCAGCTGTTTGTTGAGTCGATCCGTAAGAATTTCGTGCTTACAGACGGAACTGGCAGCTATTGTAATGGAGGACTTCATTCACATTTTACAAGTCGCAGTGGTTTAAGTTCTGTTTTCTGGACTTTATTATGATTAAGAAATGCTGCGGTAACGACGTGGCTGCATTTGCGAAGTTGTCGCATGTAACTTTATATGCACGTACAGCGACCGGTGGAAATATGTCAGTAGTGGAGAAAAATTTCTTTGCCGTAGCCACATATTGACCTTAATATTTGTCGAATTGCAAAGTCAGGTGGTTTGAGGTAGGTTATGGCATCGATATCACCGAATAATTTGTGTAAATGTTGGAAAAAACCAGCCCGAAACTCTGACATCTTTCATCATCGTTGGCAGCTTGTTTACAACCTACAGCGGCCGATTTTGTACCATATCTTGATCAGAGATCTCTTTTTTGAACAATTTCTTTCATTAAGGAATTTAATTTTGACATAAAATAAATCAAGAATGCTAAAACTATCCGTTTTGTTGCTGGTTGGCACATGGTTAAGTTTTCCTAGAGACTTTCTACACCAGAAATTCACACAGTTGTTGTCTTTCTTTGCGATTTGGCATCGTCGTGAAATGTAAACTGCTTTCCAGCTTTGTACTTTATTACTTCTAAAGCTATGGCAGTAATAAAATGTGGAAACCAACGCTTTTGATATTAAGAAGGGCTGGGTAAGTAACTTGTTCTGTTTTTTAGCCTTTCTAAAATCGTTGTTTGCAGATCAATAGCCGGTTTTATTTATGGCTCGCGGTCCGGATGCCTTCTTCCATGGGTTTACCGGTATAATAAACCATAGGTTTTTGACCAATCAGATCACGCGTACTATCCCAGTTATTTTATAAATTAGATTATTAAAAACTGAATCATTGGATAATGCAATTCTAGCATTTTGACTGGTTTAGCCGTTATGGTATATGAGCTAATATACCATGTTCTCCATATATGGTCGGTGTACGCGTCAGTTTAAAATTGGAAGCTAGCTGAGATTTTTTTTCGCGAAGGATAGAACGGCGCCCGAAGCAAATCGTTTTAATTCATTTCTTAGAATACTAGAAATGCAATTTCAACGAAAGAAAGAAGACAAAAACAAACAAAAAAGCCACAAGAGCTTGTTTGAAAGTTTGTCGAAAAACACATGGAACTAAAGTACCTTGACCAGCTACGAAAGAAGACAAGTGTTGTTTCTTCATGATCGCGAAGCCATTCGCCGATCGAGTCACTCGCCGATAGATAACTGCAGCTTGTTTATCCAACATCAAGAATATAAATCACAAGTAACCAGCTACAAATACAGGCTATGCAGCCATTCACTAGAGCAATCGAGGCGGCAGTATAGCTTCTTTTCTCGTTCAGCAAAACCAGCTTGTGGCTTCAAACAACTTCATAACAAGCGACGAGGTAATACCAGTAGTTTTTCTCCGTTGTTTTTACTTTTATAACTGCACCGAAAATCCAAATTCATAGTAATTTCGACGACTGTCACTTAAAAATTCCTTTCCTTCACATTATCTGCCAGGTTTTTTAAGCTGTTCTGCTGTGTAAAATCCTAGAATCACGATGAGTTTTTAAAAAACTAATGTTCATCGCACAATGTTTTGATTTTTCATTCATGCAGTCTAGGCGAGCCCGGTTAGCGCGTTGACAGTTTTGATAGACGTGTGACATGTCAATAGCGGAAGTCCCTTGTTTTTTCCGGTTTGTTCTAATCGGGGCGATTCAACGAGATTTTGTGGGCGTTTTTAATAAAACAATTATTCCACTCGGGCTTGTTGGATATGAAATGATTATAGCCAACTCGGCGCTATGCGCCTCGTTGGCTATCTATCATCTCATATCCAACGCGCACTCGTGGAATAATTGTTAAATATATCATTATAATTAGTATTATCATAGATTATTATTATTATTATTATTATTATTATTATGTAATTTTAGACAAGTGTCCCCAATTAGCCATATACTTTTGACACTTGAATAAAGTTCTTATATCTTATTATATTGTTATATTAGACATTTCAAAATATCAAAATGGCAGTTTGTTCTGTTAAAATGATTAATCGCCAATATTGCTTGTTCAATTGGAACTTAAAAAATAAACACATTGACGGGAACTGAAGCTTTTAGTGATTAGGGAACAGTGTTAAACGTTTTATGTTTCTCTTCCATGGCAGTTCGTTTCATTCACGAGAGCTTATAACTCGACTCCAACAGTTCTTGTCTCAGCCAATCACAGCACGACGGCATCTGGGAATTCAGCACCGAATCACAACGGAATTACAACTTGGATCGAGGTAAAATTTTCCGCAATTGGGGAGGATTGTGGGGATGTATCGAGGCAAACAAATTTCAAACCAAAACTCGACGAAAGATATAACTGAACAGAGACACACGCTTGCTTGAGGCGATGTATAGGTCAATAATAGGTGTGGCGCAAAAACGTGCCGAGTGAAGTTGAGATTGCTTATCGGCTTCCTTTTGACGTTAATTATCGAATACGATTATGGTGTTGGTACAAAATAATATCCGTAGGGCCCGCGCGCGGTGGTCTCGAACTTCAGATCTGATTGTGCGGGTTTAAATGTTACTTTAGAGCTGTTTCCTTGGACACGAAACTTTGCTCCAATCATTTGGCTTCTTTCTACATCAACAGGGATATTTAGCTCCGTCCTTCTGGGCCTCATAGCTCATTTGTACCACTGCCGGGCCCCTTATTAGGGTAACAAGGATATTTTGGATAAAATTTCGAACATTAATTCACCATATATTTTGTTATACCTTTGTTATTTCTATAGCCTCCCACTCAGGCGTTTTTAGGGGAGCTCGTTTTTCGGGTTGAGCAGGCGTTTGTGGGGAGGGATGAAAAACGAGCTCCCTAAAAACGCCTGCGTGGAAGGCTATTATTTCTGAAGCTTCTTTTGATTTTCTAGCGCTCTTTAATTACTTTCATCAAACCACAGTGTTAATTCACGGCGAATCTTCGCATCTCTATGTGACATAAGAAGACGTAGGAGAACGTTTTAAAAATATTCTGGTATTCTCTTCCTGTTAATTCAGTTGTTTATGACTACAATTTTAGCTATACTAAACTACGTTGAGTGCTTATTATTTTTCTTCAGAACATGAATACCTCTGGATTCAGAGCCTGTATCAAGGAATTATACGGGACGAGATATGATCCCTTGTCCGTCGGTTATGCCGTGCTCACAGGTCTGTAATACTACTGAGTTCATTTATGAAGTAGTTTTTAGCAAATGAAAAAAGAAACGTTATTTGTTACCGGATTCATCTGGAAATACTTTGGAAATGCCCTAAACTAATAACACAATGCACGTTGATGGTTTTGCAAGTCATGGCGGAGTCAAGAGAGTGTATCTGTTGACATAAAAAAGATTCTTGAAATTCTTTCAAGTTATAATTTTCCTACCCCTCGAAGAATTTCACTGTTTAATTAAAAGGATAAATAACGAGGATGAAAGACCTTGCTAGAAATTAAAAGCACCATGCTTAAAGCAATCGGTTTAATAGTTCGATATATTTCATCTTTATGCGAGTGGTATATCCCTATCGCTAGTCTTCTATGGCCAATAATATCTTACTAGTACCTTGAAACCATTAAGCGTTGGAAAGCATTTTCGCATCACGCTCCTAACAGTACTGCGAGTGAGATACTGCCAAGGATTTGTCAATCCGGCAGTTTATTTGAATATATATATATATATATATTTGACTCTTACGTTTATCTGTATTTCGCAGACATCTGTGAACCTGGCTGGAACTATTTCAACGGCTTTTGCTATTTCACAAGTAAGACTTGTCAAAATTGGACCACAGCACTGGATAAATGCCGACAAGAAAACTCGGTTCTTGTTGATGTCCAAAATAACGAAGAAAATGTGTTTTTACAGCATCTACACAATGAAGCAAAATCCTGGCTGGGATTGAATGATATTTTCACAGAGGGCTCCTTTACTTGGGTAGATCGTGGTACTGGGAACTTTACAGCTTGGGCCAAAAACCAACCAACCAATTTTAGGGATGAAGACTGTGTGCATACACTAGGTGTTGAATATAAATATGAATGGAATGACGTGAAATGCAGTGACTGTCATAAGTATACTTGTAAGAAAGGTAAGATGTGATGTATAAGTTTAGGAATGCACAAGAAAGAAGGACTGAGTTCAAGCTGAATGAATAAATGGCAGCATCATGAAGCGCATGATATTATTAGAAATCTATATTTCATACCACCAAATGACGTGAAATGGAAAGAATGTACTTGTAAGGACTTCCCTTTGAAAGTGGAAGAAGGTATAGGGATAAGGGATTTGTAAATTCACAAGGGAAAAGCCCTTAACGAGGTTACAAACAGACACAATTGATATTAAAAACTTCAATGAAATCAGTTGTTGTTTTTGATTTTCGTCCCCCTAACAAATCGTATTTTGGTGCGTTAATCGTGACAATAGTTTGCTTTTATTTTGAACAGATCTGAATGAATGCAGTAGGGACAAGTATTACTGCCATCAGGTCGCCAGCTGCACAAATTATCGTGGTTCATTTACTTGCACTTGTGATCAAGGCTACTTTGGAGACGGCTTTGAGTGCGAGCTCAATTACGCAAGTATGATCAGATATAAAATTGCAGCACTGCATGTTAATTAAGCTTAATTATTAACAGCAAGTTCATTTATAGTAATCTATTCTTACTGGAGCCATCAGCAAACAATGCCCATAATTCCAATAATATATGGGAGACCCAGCCGGAGGCGGTAGGAGCGGGGAGCTCCTGGTAAAGAGAGAGTTCTTCAATGCAGAGAAATGGGTGGGGCGTGTAAAGAAATGTATACGAAACACCGAAAAGATTGAGCAGGCTATTAATTGCGAATAATTAATAGACTTATACAAGAAACCCACCATGTACAAATAGGTATAGGATAGCAACGGGCTATACACGGCGTGCTAGTATCACGCTCTTTTATTGCGGAGTTCTTATGTTTTCAATGGCCATCATTCAGTAGCTTCTACTGCTTACATGCAACGTCTAAATTTTCGAGTGTCTTTTTATGATTTCCCATTCTAAACGAAACGCTATGGAGAAGAGTAGCTGCGCAGGCGACATGGTATCCTCCTCCTTCTTGCGAGTCTAAACTTTGCAGTTTAATTCGGTGGCCTGGTTGATATTTTGCATATTCGGTAGCCTGCGTAGCATGCGCTTGTAAGTAGTGGGCGAAAGAGAGAACGGACGCGCGCGAGAAAGACACATTCGCGCGCCCGTTTTTTCTTGTGCCCACTACTTCCAAGCGCCGGCAACGCAGCCTACATATTCTGCCTTATTATTACCCCTAGTTTTAGACTCTTGTTGTGAGGGAAGTCATTCGAAAATTGATAATTTGCCTCGCAAGGTAAGAATCCGATTCGCATTGAAAAAGAGTTTTTAAATTCCTGAGTCCTTTTGAGGCCACCAACTCAGGGTCTTTAAATCACTGACTGAGAGGATAAATTGTTTCCTTTGAAAAGACATCTGCAAATGGTAAAACTTTGTAGTCTTCTCAGGCAAGGACGATAAACCGTAGGCCCTGTCTCCTAACCGTTTTAAAGAACCCACACTCTGTTCGTAAAGAGTAGGGGACGCACTCTCCGGTGTTGTGGTCTATCTCCCATGGTGGGCGGGACTGTTATGGGTCCTCGGTAATAAGCGCCCCGCGCTGTTGCGGTGAACTGCCAAGAATTGGTAAGTAAATAAATTAGTGATAACTTTGTCTCTAATTTTTGTAGGGGGTTTGCAACAGTCTACTGTAATGGGGAATGATGCTAACTACTTGCAATATTTAAGCACCTGGCTCAAACCAGTTGCTCAGAGCAAATTTTCACGATGGAAGCGATGTTGGCGGGCGTCCGTGGACGGCTGGGCTGCCAGTACTTTTCACAGCGGATGTGACAACAAAGGACCAACTGTAACAATAACAAGAGTCGGCGGAAAATACATTTTTGGAGGTTACACCAGCCTCTCTTGGGGTAAGTGGTTTGGTTTTTCTAAAACTAGGCATTATAAGCAAGTAAAATTGTCCAAGGAAGTATTTGAAAACAAAAGTGCATTCTCGTAACTTTATCACCCTTATCCTATTTCGGTCAATTCGCCAAATGAAGGTGAATTATTCTGGGTTTAAATTCGAAAAGTTTCTACCAAATATAAGAAAAAGAAAATCGTTGTCTTGTGTTCAAGTTCCCTACACCATTTTCTCATCTCTACCTCTGTTACAAAATTCATTGATAAGCACCGGTTTTCTGCAATGATTGGCCTACCATCAATAACACAAAAAGTTAAACATCCATAGCTAATGGACGATAATTAATTCTCTCAATTTCCTTTCCGTCGACCATTAATTCAGTATAGATATGATATTCGAGTAAGACCCTTAATGTTCTTCGGAATAGTCTCAGCCGTGAAATCCGGCTTTGCAACGACAAATCCTGGGAACACACCAGCAGCATGGAAGTTCTTTCAACACATTTTTCAAAAGCCAAAAATCATCTTGAATTGTTTTCAAACAACAGATGGCATAAAGACATCTGCTCTTCAACCGATGAAAACGTTAACTCAAGAAACGTTTTTCAAGCAGCAAACTCTTGTACAACGATCTGAAAACTAAATTTAATTTCAGATTTTTACATAGACGTTTACCAACTAACAGCTATCTGCAAAAATAGGAGTTACAGAGGACGGAAAGCGTACTTTTTGCTGCGACGAGAAAGAGGATTTGACGCATCTATTTTGGAAATGCCAAAAAACCCCAAAATTTTGGGATAACTTCTCGTTATGGCTTCAGTCGTGCCAGATCCTCCAACCAGGCAATTACTTAGACATGACCACCGTTTTGGTCCTTACTCCAGACAGCTCTTCCTTTAAGCTCCATATAATTTTCTGTTGCCTTATAGCTAAAACCTTTATCTGGATATGCAGATTGAAGGAATGTTATCCAAATGACAACAAGTTCCTACTTTATCTGAGACATATACCAATTAGAAAATAAGACACCAAGCAATATATATGTATATATATATCTGTCTGGATTTGCAAAAACATGGCTACAGAAATCTCTCTTATATACCCTCTGACTGAGTCTTGTAGTGGAGCATTTTTTTTACAGCTACTTTGTATTTATTTAATCGGGACCGGAAAGGCCACAGTAGATAGACTTTGATGATTTTCTCACTGGCTATTAACCTATTGCCCCGCCCCCCCCCCCCCCAAAAAAAAAAAATGTTTTTCAGAACTTCCCATAATTCTCTCTGTATGTCAGTTTGAAATCAGCGGGCGTATTAGACTGAACTCGGCTCTCATAGCGGGTTGTCCTTTTTTGGCTGCCTTGAGCAAAGTTTTCCGGAAGGCATCAATAAGCCTTATTAAGGAACAATTCTCACGTCTGGCAAAGTCTGCTGTGTCCAATATCTTCTGGTATTTCGTCTCATTTCGGGCTACACGGGTGAAAGACTGATCGCGGGCTCGAGACTGAAAGATTGGATATTGCGAGCTTTGTTGTTGGCAGTAACAAGTCTTTAGCCTCACAAAATAGGTTTTAGAGTTGAAATCTATTCGGCAAGATGGAAATTCATGTTGATTTCTGACAAGGCCAAAGACTCAGTAAAAAATGGTGTCGAAGGCGGGGGCTGTATGTCTCCTTTTCAACCCACATCCGGAATCTTGAATAAATAGACTGTCAGTGAGTCTAGAAAAGTTCAATGTGACGATTTATGTGGAGAAAGCGAGTCAAAGTGTTACGGAGTAATTTGACGGTGTTTCGCCCGTGTTAAGTGTGAAAATATTGTGAGTGGTTTTAATGGGAAGGGTTGTGATTGCCGCGAGAGTCATTTATTGTGTGATTTACCGAAAGTGTTGACAGACAATCTCAGGTATGTGCGATTGAGCTCGTGTTACTAGAATACTTTGTGTCAAGCATAAAACGCTTTGTGAGTGTTCAGGTGATTTTGTCTTAGAAAGCCTACTCTGTGCTCAAAGATTCTGGATTCTTAATCTGTTTTCGGCCGACACTGAGCTATGCATAGGACTCACGGTTTGACTGACTAAAAGATTACAATTTTTGGACGTTTCATTCATCGCAAAATGCTGTTACTTCTGCGAGAGAACTTTACCGTCGATCTGTTGCTAGCAATAATACTGTCATTGTTTAGCTTCAGCTAGTGAGTTTAACTGCTTCCCATTCCACTTAGATGTCAAATAGTTAAAATGCACTTGAAAGTTCTTTAGCCACGTTTTAACAAATCCAGACAGATACATAATATACGAATCTT